GCTGTTGGTGCATTTTGAATTATGCTTGGTAGTCTATTTATACCAAATATTAGGGCCCTTAAGTTTGACCCTAAATTTTGGCATAAGGGAGTCTTGATAATGGGAAGTTTCTATTCTGCAGGACTTCACATTGCTGGGAGTTATATTTTAATAAAATTAATTATAAAGGATGTTACATGGAGAAATGCAAAGAAAAAGTTATTTTTACCTATTTCTTCAGTCTGAAATTAATAAAATGTTCAATCAAGGTGCATTGATAATTACTAGCAACTAAATGTGAAATGTAGAAACACAGAGGAAGCATTATTACTTGGAAAATATATCTTTGATGATAGAAGTGATGCCAGACATCAAATATTAGAATTTTGCAAGACCAATGACATTTTTCAATAATGTACTGATGACTATACATGTGGACATCACTGGATAGAATATATAGGAATGAAACCAATTGCATCAGTGGGAAGAGACAATGGAGAATCCAAAAATGATCAGTCAAAACAAAGCCGGGGACAACTATGGAACAGACCATCAATTGCTCCTATGAAACTTCCAGTGGAAGCTGAAGTAAATTAAACAAGCCCACAAAAGTCAAAATACAACCTTGAGTGTATCCCACCTGAATTCAGAGACTATCTTAAGAACAGATTTCAGCATTCAACACTAACACCTGAGGAGTTGTGGCTTGACATTAAGGATATCAATCATGAAGAAACTAAAAGATCATTAAAAAGTAGTAAAGAAAGAAAAGACAACAATAAATGTAAGAAGAGACTCTGAAACTTTCTTCTGAATGGAGATTAAACATAAAGAAAAAAATATTGAAGTAAATATTACAGAGAATATTAGAAATCAAAGTGATTATGAGTGAATATCAATATATCAAAATTATAAGTGAATATTAGAAATCAAAGTGTGACTCAATAAGACAAAGTAAAGTATTATGATGAAATATGCAAAGGCCTGTAGCTAGAAAAACAAAATGGAGCAACATGCTTGGCATCCCCAAGCTGGAAGAAATGAAGGAAAAATTCAAGCCTCGAGCTTCAATATAGAAATATTTCACAAAACAAACACAAATTATAACAAATAATGAATAAAATTGCAAAGAATGAGAATTCCAGAACACTTAATTGTGCCCATGAGGAATCTGTACGTAGATTAGGAGACAGTAGTTCAAACAGAGCAAGGATTTACTTCATGGTTTTAAATTAGGAAAAATGTGTGTCAGAGTTGTATCTTTTCACCAAATTTATTAAATTCAGCAAATTATCTGACGAGCTCAACTATATGAAGAAGAGTGGGCATCAGGATAAGAAGATGACTCATTAATAGCCTGCAATATACATATGTCAAAACCTTGCTTGGTGAAAATGAAGAGGACTTGAAACATTTATTGATAAAAATCAAAGACTATAGCCATCAGTTGGATTAGATCTCACTATAAAGAAAACAAAAATCCTCACAATTGGACCAATAAGCAATATCAAGAAAAACAGAGAAAAGTTTGATGTTGTTAAGCATTTCATTTTACTTGGATCCACTACCCATACTCCTGGAAGCTGCAGCTGATAAATCAAATGATATATTTCATTGGGCAAATCAGGTACAAAAGGCCACTTTAAAGTGTTTAAGGACAGAGGTGTTTAAGGACATTGAATACCGAGGTCCACTTGACACAAGCCATTGTCTTTTCAGTGCCTTCATATGCATCGAGAGCTGGACAAAGAACAAGGAAGAATGCAGAAAAATTGATGGATTTGAATTGTAGTGTTAGTGAAGAATATTGAATGTACTATGTACTGCTAGAATGAACAAATCTGTCTTGGAGTAAATATATTTGGAATGCATCTTAAAAGAAAGAATGGCCAGATTTCATCCTCATTCTTTGCATATGTTGTCAGAAGAGACCAGTCCCTGGAGAAGGATAACGTGTAAGGTAAAGTAGAAGGTCAGCAAAAATGGGGAAGATACTTAAGGAGATGGATTGACACACTGGCTGTGATGATGAGCTCAAGTGTGGCAACAATTGTGAGAATAGCACAAAACTGTGCAATTTCATTCTGCTGAACACAGGGTCACTATGACTCTAATCTGACTCAACGGCACCAAAGAACAACAACATGGAAAACATTTGAATGACCCGGGGAACATCAAAAGAAGATAGAAGGAATACACAGAGTCATTGAACCAGAAGAATGTATCGACATTCATCCATTGTAGGAGGTAGCATATGATCAAGAATCAATGATACTGAAGGAATATGTCCAAGCTGCAGTGAGGGCATTGGTGTAAAACAAGTCACCAAGAATTGACAAAACACCAATTGAAATGTTTCAACAAACCTATTCAGTGCTAGAGGTGATCACTCGTCTATGTCAAGATATTTGGAAGATAGCTACCTGGCCCACTAACCGGAAGAGATATATTTTTGTGCCCATTCCAAAGAAAGAAGATTAACAAATTTGGAAGTTATCAAACAATATCATTAATGTAATATGCAATCAAGATTTTGTTAAAGATTATTCAAAAAGAGGTGCATCAACAGGGAACTGACAGAAATTCAAGTTGGATACAGAAGAGAATGTGAAATGAGGGGTACCATAGCTGATATCACATGGACCTTCACTGAAAGTAGAGAATATCAGCAGGATGTTTATCTGTGCTTTATTGACTGTGCAAAGACCATCAACTGTGTGGATGATAACAAATTATGGATAAGATTATGAAGAATGGTAATTCTAGAACACATGATTGTGCTTATGTGAAACTACTAGTACATATACCATGAGGCAGTGGTTTGAACAGAACAAGAGGATACTGCTTGGCTTAAAATCAGGAAAGGCAGCATCACAGTTATATCTTTTCACCATAGATTTTCTCTTTTTATGCAGAGCAAATAATATAAGAAGCTGGACATCTGAAGAAGAATGTGTCATCAAGACTGGAGGAAGACTCAACAACCTATGACATGCATATAACAAAAACTTACTTGCTGAAAGCAAAGGGGACTTGTAGAACTTAGTGATGAAGATCAAAGACAACAGGCTTTAGTATGGATTATATCTCAACATAAGCAAAACAAAAATCCTCACTACTGGACTAATAAGCAACATCATGATAAACAGTGAACATAGTCAAATTGTCAAGGATTTCATTTTACTTGCATTTGTAATCAATGCCAGTGAAATCAATGCCCAATGCAATCAAGAAATTGAAAAATTTATTGACATTGGGGAAATCTGCTGCAAAATATCTGTTTAAAGTGTTAAAAGCAAAGATGTCACTTTGAAGACAAAAGTGTGCGTGCCCCACACCATGGTATTTTCAATCATCTCATGTGCATGTAAAAGGTGGATGATGAATAAGGAAGACTGAAGAGGAGTTGATGCCTTTTAATTGTTGTGTTGTTGAAGTATATTAAGCATACCATGGACTGCCAGAAGAATGAACAAATCTATTTTGGAAGAAGTATAGCCAGAATTCCTTAGGATTGTGAGACTTCCTATCAGGTACTTTGGACATGTTATCAAGAGGGATCATTTCCTGGAAAAGGACATCATGCTTTGTAAGTTTGAAGGTCAGTGAGACAGAGGAAGTTCTTCAATGAGATGGATTGACACAGTAGCTGCTGTAAATAAGCTCAAACATAAGATTGTGAGGATGACATCCCCCCCCCCAAAAAAAAAAGAAACTCATCACCATCGAGTTGATTCAGACTCATAGTGACCCCATTTGGGTTTTCAAGGCAATATATCTTTATGGAAATAGATTGTCCAACCTTTCTCCACAGAGTGGATGGTGGGTTTGAATAGCCAACTTTCTGATTAGAAGTCTAATGCCTTAGGCACTACTGGGAAATGTTTTGTCCTGTTCTATATAGGGTTGTTATGAGTTAGAACTTAGTCAGCAGCTCCTAAAAATAACAAAAACTACAACAACCTGAATTATGTGACCAAATGATTTGTGATTAGATATTGAAAGGAAGAACTATTCATATTTTTGACGAATCTATATGTATGAATCAGGATTGCCTCAGAAAATAGAGATGTGTGTGTGTTTTTTTTTTTTTTTCCTTAAGATCATTTTGTTGTTAATAATTATTGTGTGAAATATCCCCACATATTACTATATTTAGAGAAAAATATTGTGAGTCTATATGTAACCATCATCTGAGTTCAGTAATTTCATCTGACATTAAAATACTTTATTAGTTCAACCTCAGTCTGGCTCTGCTTTACCAATATTGATGAACAAATACAAGTATTTTTACACACATTTTGAGCCAAATTCTAATCACTTTCATACTAGAATTTTCTCTCTCAAACTTCCCTTCTCATAAAGAGTTCTATATCTACCCCTCTTATGTTTACTTTTAGAGCTACTGCTGTGATGGTTCAACTTTTCCAGGAGAAAGATCTTTAAATGTTAATGTTGCTATAACCAGCTCAGAGGGAAAAGCCATGCCAGCACAACCTCCTATCATGTCTTCTTCTGCTGTAACCAATGGCTCCATAACAGTGTTTCTATAATGGCTGGAGATGTGCCTCTGGTGCACGGGAGAATCAATCTCCTACATCTTGGGCTTGAGGTGTTTCTTTTCCTTTCTGGATTATCCCTGGTTGAACATTCCCAATATCAGGACCCAGCAGAAGTTGTGATTCCCTTGAGCTTAACTGGAGCTGGCAGACCTATGAGGGCTCCAGGCGGGATCTCCTACAACCTAAACTTTGGGGGCCAGAGTCACATCTTGCACATAAAGGCCAAGAAGCTGTTGATGTCCAGACACTTGTCTGTGTTCACATACACAGACTAGGGCACTGTCCTTGAAGATCACCCTTTTGTCCAGAATGATTGCTACTATGATGGCTATGTGGAAGGGGACCCAGAATCTCTTGTTTCCCTCAGTACATGTCTTGGGGGCTTTCATGGAATGCTACAGATAAAGGACATTACTTATGAAATCAAGCCCAGAAGTCTTTCTAATACACTTGAACACCTGGTATATAAGGTAGGCAGTGAGGAGGCACGATCCGAAATCCTGAGATGTGGCTTAACAGAAGTGGAAACTGCAAGAAAATTGAAGTTTCACAATGGGGAAAATTCCACTCTGAAGCGAAGCATTGAGAATACCTGGTGGACCCACAAGTGGTTTATTGAATTGGCAGTGGTGGTAGACTATAATCTATGCCTTCACTGCAACAGTAATTTCTCAAAAGTACAAGAGACTGTTTTTGATATTATCCATAGAGTTGATTCAATTTATAGTCAACTGGGTGTTGAAATCACTTTATTAGCACTTGAAATCTGGAATGAAGAAAACCCATTTCCACTTATTAACTCATCAAAGATGTTAACTGACTTTTGCAAATGGAAGGAAATTAGTTTTAATTCTCGTGTGCACCATGATGTTGTAGATATTTTTACAAAGAAAGGATTAGGTCAAGCTGTTGGCTATTCTTTTATTGATGGAGCATGTATACTGTCATATAATTGTGTAGTTTCAAGCTTCACTATTCATGATTTGAACTTTTTTGCAACTGTTGCATCACATGATGTTGGTCACTCTTTGGATTTAGTGAAAGATGGTGCATGGTGTACATGTGGGAGAGGAAGATGTATAATGTCTACAACAGGAATAACTACAACTAAATTCAGTAAGTGCACTTATGCTCATTTTGGGAGAGTGATTACAAAAAAGGCATGTTTGCTCAACATACCAAATCCTGGGGGAATATTTACCTGGAAGCGCTGTGGGAATAGAGTAGTTGAAGAAGGAGAAGAGTGTGATTGTGGATCCTTAGATAACTGTAAAGAAGATCCCTGTTGTCAGTCAAATTGCACTCTGAGACTGGGGGCTTCTTGTGCTTTTGGGCTTTGCTGTAAAGATTGCAAGATCATGCCATCAGGACAAATGTGTAGGAAACAGGTCAATGAATGTGATCTTCCAGAGTGGTGCAATGGAACATCCCATCAGTGTCCAGAAGATGTATACATGCAGGATGGAATCCTATGCACAGGAGGGGGGTACTGCTATGAAAAAGACGTAATATCCATGATGAACAGTGTAGGCAGATTTTCGGGAAAGATGCAAAGAGTGCAAATAAGATATGCTACAAAGAATTGAACACAGGAGTTGATCAGTTTGGTCACTGTGGTAAGAATATGTCTACATATGTAAAATGTAGTATTTCTGATAGTCTGTGTGGGAGAGTTCAGTGTGAGAACGTGAAAGCAGTTCCTCTTCTGAGAGAGCATTCTATCGTACAGGTGACTTACCTCAATGGTGTCACCTGCTGGGGTATAGACTATTCTTTTGGGATGAATGTACATGATGTCAGTGAAGTGAAAGATGGCACAGAGTGTGGTCCAAATCATATCTGCATCAACAAGAAGTGTGTCAGTATATCTGTTCTGAAAAATTATTGTTCACCTAATACATGCAGAAACAGAGGATTCTGCAACAATAAAGGTCATTGCCATTGCAATTATGACTGGGCCCCACCATACTGCCTGATTAAAGGTCGTGGAGGTAATCTTGACAGTGGACCACCCATTGACAGACAAGAAGAAAAAATAGAGAACATAGCAAATCTCTTGTCACTATTTTTGCTGTTTCCTCTGTTTGGTTTATGTTCATATTTGTTAATTTTTCTTTTAAAGAAACATAAAAACAAACAAAAAAAGAAGAGCCAATTTCCATCTGAATCTGAGAAAGAAGAGCCAACATTTTCAATTCCAGGAAATAAAGAAAAACCAACATTTACAAGTCCAGAAGATATATCCAATCCTTAATTAAACCTCCGGTGTATTAAGTGTTAATTTTCTGTCAGTAGAAATGTTAGTGCATGTGTCAGAGATCATGGATAGAAAATCCAAGAAAACTATTCTATTTCAAGATCATAATAATTAACCAGTAAACAAAGATATTTACTAGCTATTTCCAGTTACTCTTCATTATTTTAAGCACTTTCAAATTACTTTTTCATGGAGTTAATCACTTTATGTTTTCTGTGCAAAGCCACAGCTCATGAATGGCATTTATGTTTTAAGCTGCTGTCTTTCAATTCAAAGCTCCTTTCACATTTGACTGCACTGTCACATGAGGAATGTGAAATCACAATCATATTCCTCCTTTTCTAGCTCTTTTCCTATTAGTATATGTCAATAAGGGGGGCAAGAGGGAGACTGGAAACTGGGAGTACTGTTTGATTCCTATTCATGGCAATGTTACATCACTAAATGTGTTGGCAGCAGTATTGCCTCCCAGATTGCAAGTTATTTCTATAATTATGTTTAGTAACTCCTAGAAACAATAGCAATGTCAGCTTCAGAGTTAAAGCACAGCTGGCCAGTGACTAAATCTCAGTATTCTGAGTCCAGACCTTGAACCCTCCACCAAGTTGGAGTCAGACATCCAGCTTCTAGGTTTGAATGACTATAGCCTCTTTCCTTTATTCTTTAGTCCCTACATTTAAGAGAAATAGTTACCTCTATTTGTTATTAAATCATGGATATCACGGTGTTTCCCTTTGTTTCCTTTCTTTGACAGCTGTATCCTCATAGCTTTACATTCCATTCCCTCTTTTAAATCACTGGTGTCATTCTATTTTATTACTGAACTCAGATTGATACAGTACTTATCTTGATATAATGAAGAGCATCCAAGTCAGATTGTGGTGCAGTGAATTATGTGGTAGGGCTTTTCTAGCCAGTGTTTGTGTCTCCCACCAAATTATTGGATGGGATCATGCAAATAAAGAGTGTGGGACTCTAATGTGGGGATTAGTTAGTTTTGTCATTCTGCTAGGCTTAAAATGAGTCTTCCAAGAGGCAGAAAGGGGGATCTCACTGCCATCAAGAGAGAAGAGCTAGAAATGGAATAGAGCATGGTCTTCTACCAAAAATCTTTGTGCTAGACCTCTTTAGCAGAGACAACCAGCTGAAAGGACTGGCTGAGACAGTTGGCTGAGATGACTGGCCGAGACAACAGCTGAGAAACCAAGAAGCACTAGATGGAGTGGCTGGCTTGCCAGCCCATGAAGTGAGAAAGCTGAGTGCTTTTCGGTAGGAGGCTTGCTGGCATAGTGGGTGCAGAACTAATAGGTCTTTATAATGTTTGTCTGAGGGAGCAGACACCAGGCCAAGAGGCCAAGGGCCAGAGAGGTGTGCCTGAGGACATAACAGAGGGGAGACTGTCTTGATGGAAGAATTGTATCCTAATTGCATTTTTAAATCTTGAATTGTATCCTCTTACTTCCCTAGTAAAACCCCATAATCATGAATATTGTCTGCGAGTTCTGTGTGGCCATTGCAATGAATTATTGAACCTAGCAGATGTAGTGAGTGCTGTGGGAGGAATGGATGGTGTTAGAATTAGTGAAAAGGTTGGAAGGTGGTGGCATGTCTGGCCTCATAGAAATAAGATTTGGGCTGCTCCTGATTCTATCTCCCCCTCCTGAAGTTAGAGGAAGTCAGAAAATGCTGCCACTCTGCCCTTTTTGTAGTTGGTGTCAGGAGTGGGATTCATTGCAAAGGTTCCAGATTCATGGAAACATGGGACTGTAAGAAAAAGAAGGAAGGGGATTGGGATTTGAAACTTTTGATTCTTAAATGGTTATTTTGGTTGTTTTTTCCTGTACTGGGGGAAGGAATATAAGATATATTATGCTGTAGCTGAGGGGAGAGAAAAGTCAGAGACAAGAGCTAGGCTGATTGAAGGAACTGGTTGATAGGCTGATAGGTGGATAGGGCTTTTGGTGACCCAGAGGTCCAAGGCCATATGTGTAGAATGGGAAGATAGTCAAGCTGAAGAGATAAAACTGGACTGTCTTTAAAAGGATATGTGCTTATCTAAAGGGGAGCTCTGGTAGCATAGTGGCTAAGGCACTTGACTGCTAACTAGAAGGCTGGTGGTTCAAACCCACCAGCCACTCCTTGGAAGGAAGGTTGGGCAATCTACTTCCATAGTGATACCGCCTCGGAAACCCAAGGAGGGGTTGCTATGAGTTGAGTCCGACTCAATGACACATAACAACAACAACAAGAAGCTTATCTAAAGAGAGCTCTGGTAGCATAGTACCTAAGGCATTTGACTGATAACCAGAAGGTGGGTGGTTCAAACCCACCAGCCACTCCTTGGAAGGAAGGTTGGGCAATCTACTTCCATAGATATACTGCCTCGGAAACCCAAGGAGGGGTTGCTGGGTACTATGGATATTTAATACTCTCTTACCTAGTTGTATGTTAGAAATGAATATGGGGTATGAATAACAGAGAGCATGTAAGTCCACCTTCAGCCCCAGAAGAAATATAAGCTTTTGTTTTAAGCATTGTGTGTAGAGTACTGGGGGTTTAAGTAGAAAACCTGAGCCCCACCTAGAACTGCTGATAGAATAGAAGGTTTGCATTTGAAGGAAAGACATGCTGGGGGTGGGGGGTGGAAAGCTTTTTGAATTTTTAGCAAGCAATTTGGCTTTGGGTGCATTGAGGCAGGAAAGTCATGGTCCATGAGAGAAACCTATTCCAGGACTAGAAGTTAGAAAAAGCTGGCAAGTAGATAGCCTTGTATGCTGCTTACTTGTGACCCCCTGGGTCCACTTGATGAGTGGAAGGATGGGAGGTGCAACAATGAAGAAACCAGTTGTGTTTGGTACTCTTTGACCTAGTCCATGGAGGCTAGGGATGAGAGGAAGGGCTGCTTACCTTAAAGTACAAGGAGTTGTGTGGACTTCCAAGCCTATGGGTGCTAAACCAGCCCCTGAGACCTAGGGATGAGAGAGAGAGAAGGGGCTCGCTGGTCTGAAATGAAGGGAGGGGTGTGAACTCCAAAGTTTGCAGCTGGTACCTATTGATCTAGCTTGGATGGCTAGGGCTGAGCTGACCAGAACCTGACCAAATGAAGAGTAATATGTTTGACACTGTGATGTAAATTTCTGCAAATCGATGGCTTGTTCTGGACTGGACTTTGCTTATGGATTCAAATGTTCAAAGTTCCAATGGGAACAGAAAATTCTTCAGAGAAAAAAGAACATGTTTATCTCTTCAAAATAGTGGTTTGATAGGGAAGGGCAAATTAAAAATTGACTATCTAAAATGGGGGGTGGAGGATAAAGGTATGAAATTGTTGGGTATGCTTATTCTTAAACTGATTGTGAGGGGGATGTTAATTTTTGAAGCATGAAAGGAGCAACAGCTAAGAAAGCAAGGAGGTGGCCTGTGTGCAGTGAGTTACTTGGTATGGGTTTTCTAGCTAGTCTTTGTGATTCACACCAACCTATTGGATTTAAAAAAAAAAAAAAATCCTCACTGCTGTCAAGTCTAATCTAACTCATAGTGACCCCTCCTTGGGTTTCTGAGGCGGTATCTCTGTGTAAGTGGATTGTCCAATCTTTCTTCTGAGGAGTGGCTGGTGGGTTTGAACTACCAGCCTTCTTGTTAGCAGTCAGATGATGTCTTAGGCACTATGCCACCTGGGTGGGACCACACAAATAAGGTATATGGAACTCTACTGTGGGTATTGTTTAGTTTTGTTATTCCGCTAGGTGTAAACGGAGACTTCTAGAGGCAGAATGGGGGATCTCACTGCCATCAAGAGAGAAGAGCTGGAAGTGGAGGGGAGCATGTCTTTGGACCCAAGATCCCTGCACTGTACCTCCTTGGCAGAGATAACTGCAGAGATGACTGGCTAAGATGACCAGCTGAGAGGACTGGCTGAGATAATCAACTGAGGAACCAAGAAGCACCAGACAACGCAGCAGGCTTGCCAGGCCACAGAGCAAGATAGGTGAGTGCCTTTGGGCAGCAGACTTGCTGGTGTAGTGGATTACACCTAGGTCCCCCTGTTGATTGAGCTAAAGAGCTTTGTAACACTTGCTTGAGCAGGGCAGAGGCAAGGCCAAGACACCAGGGGCCAGAGAGGTATGTCTGAGGGAATGGTAGAAGAGAGACTGTCCTGATTGAAGAATTGTATCCCGAGCGCATTCTTGAACCTGAATTGCAGCCTGTTACTTTCTTAATAAGCCCTGTAATCATAAGTATTATCTGTGAGTTCTGTGTGCTCATTGCAACGAATTATCAAACTTAGCAAAGAAGTAGTGAGTGACATGGGAGAGACAGCTAGTGTCAGAGTTGACAAAAAGGCTGGAGGATGGTGGCAGGTCTAGCCTCATAGGAAAAAACCTTTGGCTGCTGATGATTCTGTCTCCCTTCCTGAAGTCAGGGGTGGTCACAAGAGGCAAGCCCTATGCCCTTTCTGCACAAGCATCAAAAGATTTTGAAGTTTTCTCATCACTCTACCTTCTTAGAGAAATGATTTAAATTTAGAATTTCTTCAGAATCTGAAAAGGTACAATGATAACATTTGTCACCATAATGTTTTATATCTTTGATTAGAAACAAATATAAAAAGATAATTTTATTCTACATAGGATGTAATAAGTCTTAGCAGACCAATGTTTCTAGAAAACAAACAAACAAACACAAAAAACTAGAGAATACCAGTTATAGTTTTAAACCCATACTTTAAGGACATCAGAGGGCTTAGAAGTAATGAGATGAATGAATGAAATTCCAGTAGTGGAAAACTATTTTGAAAGGAGTTGAATAGTACCTGCCATTTTTG